TCGTTCAAGAGCGTCACCACGGTCTTTGGCAACCTGGCCCTCGCGTACGGCGCCGGCATCGTCATTCCCGCGCTCCAGCGCGAGCACTCGGACCCGACGCGCATGCCGCGCATCATTCTCGTGACGATGACGCTCATCTCGGCGTGCTTCTTGGCCGTGTCGATCACGGGTGTGTCAGCGGTCGGGTGCCAGATCCCGGGCAACCTCCTCTTTGCCATCACGGGCACCAAGCTCGGCTTCTCGGCGTCCCGTGGCGGCATCGTGCTCTCGTACCTCTTCATGCAGCTGCACATTACGATCGCGTTCGCGGTCATTATGTTCCCAGCCTTCTTTATCGCCGAGCGCCTCGTCCTCGGTTTCCACAAGGAGTCGTTCGCGATCGCTACGGACGAGGCGGCGTACCAGGCCATGGAAGCCTCGGAGGCCGAGAAGAAGGAGCATGCCGAGGACACGTTTGGAGCGTCGTACAAGGTGCCTGGCAACTACCGCAAGGCGGCCGCGCTGCGCATTGTCATTGTGGCCATCTGCACGGTGATTGCGATCGCGTGGAAGGACCACTTTGGCGACCTCCTCGACTTTGTGGGTGCGTCGTCGACGGCCACGTGCTGCATGATCCTCCCGATTGTCTTTTACCTCAAGACGTTCAACGGCACGATCGCGCTCCCCGAGAAGATCTTTGCCTACACCGCCGTCATCGTCTCGACCTTTCTCGCCGTCTACGTCTCGATCAACACGGGCAAGGCGCTGTTTGCGCCCGTCGAGGCCGACCCGTCGATTCGCTTCCCGTACTGCGCCGGCGACTACCGAAAGATGGTCTACACCAACACGACGTTCTTCAACAGCAAGCGCGCGCTCTATGGCTACTAGATGTATTGTGTGTCGAATGTGATTGTAAACCAAATGTAAAATATGTACCAATGTCCATCCAAGACCAGACACAAACCTCCGTCGACAGGCTGTAAACTGTTGTTGCATGCCATGCATGTACGCGAGCCCTATCGATAAGTGTGACGAATAGGACTGCGTCGATGGTCGCGCTTGATGCGGCAGTCAAAGCCGACAAGAGCGCCTTGGTCATCGATGGTCGCTGCCCATGGCCGCTGTGAGACCGCCAAGCACGGCAGCATCATCGCTGCCAAGCCTTGCGCTACCAGCGACACGATGCAATGTGTCCGCTACCTCTCTTCTCAGCGTTCGACACGAGCTCGATGGCGGGAACTCGACACTGTCGACCGGCCGCACGCACCTCGCGGTCGACGACGCCGGGTCTGCGACTGCGCATCCGTTCCATAGCTGGCACCAGCTTCACAGCTCCACAGCTCACAGCGCGCTTGGCTCGCGTCCTCGGGTCTGCCCTCAGTGTCTACAAGCGACGCCGCGACACGAGCATCGTGGACGATCGCCATCATCGCGACCTCTAAGCTCTGAGGGTCGTCTATTTTTGACTCGATCTGAAAGAAATGCTTCTCATTGGTCCGATTTCTAAACCTTTATGGCCTATCACAGGTCGCCATTCGCGATCCACCATCGACGGCGCAGCGGCGCGCATCCCCGCACGACGAAATGAACATTTGAAATGAAATCGCTCATTCTTTGTAGGTGTATAGAGACTCGTCTGGTGAGTCCAAAACACCAAGTCGCGTCGCCGTTCGGTACCTACATCCAGAGAAATTACCCAGCAACGACCCCATCACGGAAAGGTCGCACGTGGGAAAGATCGATGCCATGACAGATTGCGACTATGTGTCCTCCTCCACCTCGACGCAATGATGCGCATCCAGTTTTGCTTTCTCCACGTCTCCATCACATCATGGTCAAGTTTGTCGTCACCGTGCTTGCGCTCGTCGCTAGCACTTTTGCGGCCGCTGCTGCTGTCGACACGCCAG